ATTGTCACCTCTTGCGAGAATTTCGGCCTCATCAAATTTTAACGTGTGGCCGCGTGTGAGCCGCAACTTGAGAATTGGCATCATTTCGCCGCATTGTTTCCACGTGTCCGGCAATTCGCGTCCTGAGAAGTCTGCAAGTTTCTCCGACATAGTTGCTTTGACCGCAACTGCACCAGCCCCTTAGACGACCTTAGATGTATCTTGCCGTGGCAGTGGGTCTTTTGGCTTCATTATCTGACGCCTTATCGTTGCCTCCGGCCTGCGTGCTACTCCAACTCCAAGTGGTGCGAGAAGGCGGCCGATGGCTTCTGATACATGTTTGACTTACGGGATCGAACGCCAAATCTTGGAGTCGGTGCGTTTTTGTTGACCATTTCGTTTCCACAAGTACCGTTTGACGAAGTTGCGCGCGTAGCCATTCTCTCTGAGCACCCGTCGAAGGTATTCTACCTCGGCTAATTTATTTCTTGTTCGCTGCAGTGCGTCTCAACACGCCGGTAGAGGTTCTTTATGCAGCTGCGCTTGTGGCTGATTGGGCAGTTGCTGTTGTAATTCAGTACTTGCATCGTGTTTGTCGCTTTCCTATAAAAACTGCAATTTTCTGTGCACGCATTACCTGTTTCTGCTACTCATGTCTCTGATGATTAATCCGTGACGGATGTCGAAACGTCAGGCGAACAAACATATTGTCACAGCGATCGAGTCTTCTTCTTCTCAAGTAGTATGTTTGCAGTTATGTCTGTTAGATACGTGTTTGAGAGTTCGCGTTGATCCTCAACAGATTATGATCCAGGCGTCTCTTGAACACCTTCACTGTTAATATTTAATAATAATGTTAATCGTCATCATCATCATCATCATTAGAACTTCTCTCTAACCATATACCTAGCGATGTTAGGTGGTGTTTACTGATTTTCGCAAATTACTGTCCAATCGAATTTTGCTACTCAGCTGAAATGACGCGTGCCTTTTGGTTTTACATCATTGACATTTCCTGCTTCATAAGCAGCTGAAGTTATAATGAGAACTGCATACCGAACAGTATGTAATTTATATACTCTTTTGTGGGATTAACCTTGGTTTCATTTAAACAGCCTTTAGGGCCCTGCTGGATAATTATAAGGCGGAGGTTGGCGTGAGCGAACAGGAAACGCCGAACGAAAAGCAGGAACAGGAGATCTTCCTCAACAGTCTCATGAAGAGTCCCATAATCAAGGAAGTGCACAAGTATCTGGTTTCCATCCGCCTCGCGCCACGTACCCCGAGAGATTTCAAAGAACTCCTCAGGAAATTGTGGTTTACGCCATACAGGCGCGGCAGGTAATATCTTGTCTGTGAATGCCTCTCTTTTTGCGAAGGGGATACGAGAAGTAGTAGCTTTAGGGGCCTGAGGTTTCTGATCCAGACGCGAAAGTATCATCAGAGGCACTCGAATACAAGAGTAATATGTGAACTTATAGTGTACAGAGCGTGGTTGCCTGGCCACCACACAGCTACTATTTTTAGCGGTACATGAATGCATAGCTTGGGATCGCAAATTATGCTATGATTGCTTGCTCGTCCGCGTCCGAGTCACGACTTGCCGTGAGTTCATCAACCTTGTCGGTTCGTTGCTTACCATCACGTTTAACTCATCCATGCTCAAGTCACCACATTTGCATTTAGTTTGCTGAAACACGAAGTGGGCAGCTTTGAAGCCGAGGTTTCAACTGCCCTGTGGGAAAACGACACAGCTCCGAGGTCATCCATACAAGCTGAAGAAACATCATGCTTAACGAGAAGTGCAGGCCGACTTCTTGTTCCACCGGATCATTAAAGACTGGAGCTTCCTACCTTCTTCAGTTGTTCTTGCCGAAAGCTTTGACGTATCCTAAAGAAGACTTGATTTTACTCTACTTGATAGTCATGCCTTTGGTGGAAATTTGTTGAAACATGCGCGGGATTTGCCAGAATCTACCTGTGAATAGGGTTTTCAAAGGCTCCGCCTGTCTCCCTTATACATATTGACTTATATTGTGACAGTGGAAGTGTTTATGCGCACCAAATTTTAGGATAGTTTGAATAAGGCTTGTAGTGTTCCATTTGGTGTGGACACTGCAATGAGGGCAGCCGAAATAGTGTTCAGTAAACTATTGAGAAAAGTAATGCATGGTAAAATGTCATTCGCGTAGGCAAACTCGTCAAACTCCATTGGCTTTTTGTCAAAGTTTATTTAAAATTGCATTGAAACCATGTCGATGACTGGGAAGACAGTTTATCATTATGGCATTTACGAACGCTGTTTTGCGCAATGCTGAGTTTTCATAGGCTATTTTTCTTAACCTCACAGACCAAACGACTCCTCGGCATTTGAGCACGTTTTTGTGGGCGAGATAAAAAACGGCAAGGTATCTGGTTTCCATAATTGGATTACGTTCTGCGATCAAGAGGCCAAAGGAGAGATCGACTATCATGGCTTCTATCGCGCGGTAAGTCCCTATTTGTAATTACTCTCACACACAGAAGACTGTTCTCTGGACAAAAATACGTCTTGGTAACTAATCGATAAACAGTAGACGATTCAATCTTCTGCCAGATCCCCAAAAAATGTAAGAGAACCAGTTTGTTTTTACGGTAATTCCTTATCATGGTCCAGTACGTTACTGAGCGATAGGACTGCGTGCTTGATGGATGGCAGCAGAGCCACGGGATCCGCCACGAGAAGATGCAATAAATCTGAAATTAATGCTCACTGAAACACTGTTTGCCGTTATATTGTTACGTTCTTATTGGCTAAAATGCTGTCCAATCCGCTTCAAGAAGAACGTTCTGACTTATTCAAGCCATCGCTCGGAGAAATGCACCAATCAGAT